CTCCGCACGTACTTATTTCTCTTTTCACACACTGCCGCGGCAATTTGTAGCTTAGCTTTAAGTTGTTGTTTAGCTCAGGATACGCCTGGATACAGTCTTTTCGGTTGAAATCACATACGAGTACTGCAAGATCCCACTTCTGACACCAGTTGTCGTGCTTTACCTTCCGTTGGTGATGGTGGTGGTGGTGCGTGGGTTAGGAGACACACGACAAGGAATCTTCTTATGTGAACTTTAATGAGTTCAAGTAAAAAGTACGTACAAAAACAGCTGTTAGTGATCAGTCAGGATAACACACTGTGTTGCGGCTTCTGGCTCGGGTATGGACAGCGGTTGAGCAGTGTCCATACGTGGGCCATCACCTAGCAACAGTAGTCTGACAACAAACATCTTGTGATAGTGAAACGTTATGTTGAGCTGCATACACGGACCTGACCTAGGCTATGAAAAATTAAATTAAAATACAAAACTTTATTTATTATTACTCTATGGTTATGAACATCTTATTCAGCCTTACAATATTGTACCTATGCTTATATAAGGACAAACGCAAAACACTAAGACATGATGTCGGATAACCTTTTAAAAGCAGTGATCTGTTAAAGTGCTTTGCTCAGACTGTATACAGATGGACAATGCTAACACAGACTGTAAACAGATGGACAATGCTAACATAGACTGTATACAGATGGACAATGCTAACATAGACTGAAAACAAAGAGAGCGCGTCATCCGTCACCTCCAGTCCCTCTCCCTAAAATCTTTAAATCAGGTCAGAAATCTAGGGGTAATACTGGATTCAGACTTAAATTTTAATATCCACATAAAATCAGTAACATCAGCAGCTTTTTACCATCTAAAAAACATCGCCAGGATCAAAAACATAGTGTCTAATGCAGACTTAGAGATTCTTATCCATGCATTTGTCTCCAGTAGGTTAGACTACTGCAATGGCCTGCTCACAGGTCTGTCCAAACAGGCTGTAAAACAGCTGCAGTACATTCAAAATGCAGCAGCTCGAGTCCTGACTAGAACCAGGAAATACGACCATATTAGTCCGGTCCTCAGGTCTCTGCACTGGCTTCCTGTGGCTCAAAGAATAGACTTTAAAACAGCTCTGCTTGTGTACAAATCTCTCCATGGCCTCGCACCAAAGTACATCTGGGACATTAGTGCAGTATGAAACAGTGCGGACTCCCAGTAGCAGAGGGACTGGACTCCTGCTGGTGCCCAGAGTCTGGAACAATCTTCTTACAGATACAGATGGACATGGCTAACATAGACTGTATACAGATGGACAATGCTAAACTACTCTCTAAAGCAGGCATGTCAAAGTCAAATACATCAGAGGGCCATACATTGCTGCGAGCCGAGGGCCGGACTGGTTCAATGTTTATTAACTCATTGCCTGCCAGCCTATTTCAGAACAGGTACTCCCATATTGCCAGCAGTTTCTGATGATTTTTATAGATTTTTCAAGACCCACAGAATATTGTGTACTATGACTATCTGAAATCCGAAACCAGATTCTGAAAGAATAGACTGTCTACTTTCATCAGCAAAAAGAATTTTGTTTCTAGCTTGTAATCCCCAGTTGAGTAGAGGGAAGTTTTACTGAAATCACCAAAAAGCTGAGAAAAAAGAGGCACAAGTGCATCTAGCTGTTTTTAAACCATTCAGAGAGCGCTGCTGCCACCTGCTGGCTCGATTCAATATGCTCTCAAGCTTATCCCCAAACATATTGATATAATAGACATCTGGCAACATAAAAATAGCGGAAAACGCAATTGACGTAATAGTGCGTCAATGGCACTATGTAAAACTCATGTAAAATTCATTCGTGGGCCGGATTTGGCCCGCGGGCCTTGACTTTGACACATGTGCTCTAAAGGAAGCCCAGAGCAGTCATTGCATTTCTTGTGCAATGACTGTTTGATTCTCTGATCTGTGTTGGCAAAGTCGACGTTTTTTGTGAAGTCCTCTGAGATAACTACTGCTGTGATTTAGGGCTGTACAACAATACATTGGAATGAATTGAAGTGCTCATGGACGACGTTTGTCCAGGTCTGGCTTATATCAAACAATAGTTATTTATTGTCAGCTTGTTGCAAAGGCAAATACTTCTGATAAAGTAGTATTTCACACAGTGACTGGAAAACTCCTCAAGGCCTAAAGTGTAAAACTCAGCAAAAACAAAAGAAGGGACAGATCTCCACAGGACCTGGACTTGGATCAAACGTTGTCATATTTATACAGCCCCACCGGATTCTCAGGTCAATCAGACAAACACATAACACGAGAATAGTTTTGACTCTATAATTATACAACAACAACAACAACAGTCCAAGCACATAGCACAAGTTTGGGGTCTTCCTAAAAAAAACAATTCATCTACAGCCTCGGTCCTGGATCTACAGCCTCAGTCCTGGATCTACAGCCTCAGTCCTGGATCTACAGCCTCAGTCCTGGATCTACAGCCTCAGTCCTGGATTTAAAGCCTCAGTCCTGGATCTACAGCCTCAGTCCTAGACCGACATACAGGAACAGACACATACAGTATACAGATATATATGTTTTTATTGCTACTCTATTCTTTCTCTAACCAGTTCTGTTGCAGCATTTGTTGCACCCACTCAGCCTCAGAACAAAAACCTGTAGAGTGGCTCTGGACAAGTGGATGCCAGATTACCAACAGCTAAAGTACATCCAGATAAATTTATACCAAACAACAGGATTTGTAATGACAGATATCGCTGTTTTTCCAGGTGAAACGTGTGTATGCATTGCCTTATTTTGTCTAGAAATGTAATCAGAAATGAGAAAGCATAGCAAAGAGCTGTTTTCTTAATGTTTTGATGATAGATTTGACCTTAATTTCACAGATTATCTCAGCAAAAGGCTTCCAACTTCACTTTGATCACACATGTTCTCAGCTTTCTTTCTTTTTTCGGTTTACTACTACTACTACTACTATGGGGGAATTCTGGCTTCTGCGTCGTATCTACTTCTCTATCGGTCTGACTTTAGCACAAAAAGCTCTGCAAGGCTAAAAGAGAGACTGAAAAAGGCAGCTCACCTGTCTCCTCTCTCTTCTCTCCTCTCTCTTCTCCTCTCTCCTTTCTGATTCCGATCTTCTCTTCTCAGCAGCTGCTACTTCCCGGTTTCACTGCATCATTCTTCAGCCCGGTGTTGTGGCTCCTGTGGACAGGCAGCTCCACATGTGAACATCCAGGGCATAAATGTTTAAACTGGAGGCTTCGAAACGTTCCCAGGTCTCTTTTAAACGTCTGTGTAGAGAGAGCGGCGTCAGGGAGAGAGGGAAACACCAGCAGCGACGGAGACCGGGGGAGAAGCATCAGTCACTTAGATGCACACACAAAGTGGCAGAGGAACGCATTGCTATAACCCACACGTTGATACAGCCTCCAGACCTCTCCTCCTCGGAGGCTCGGCCAATCAGGGGCCGGTGTGGAGGCGCAGGGAGGGAGGCGATTGGATCAGAGAGGTGTCCGTCAAAATGAGAGCCTGTTCTGTCCCCACGGCAACGCAGCAGCAGAGGAGGAGAGAGAGACAGAGAGGGAGTGAGAGAGAGAGATAGAGAGAGACAGTGAGGTTGTGGGAGAGAGAGAGAGTGAGAGTGAGGGAGGGAAGGAGAACAAGAGAGAGACCATAGAGTGAGAGAGAGAGATAGAGAGAGACAGTGAGGTAGTGGGAGATAGAGAGAGTGAGGGAGGGAAGGAGAGCGAGAGAGAGACCATAGAGTGAGAGAGAGAGAGATAGAGAAACCAGAAGGGAGACCAGAGAGAAATGAATCTGGAACATGGCGAGTAGTGGTTACAGGTGGGTAGAAGGAGTTCTTGATGTTTTTTTGTTTTTAATTCCCTCGTGAAAAACAGACCTGCAGTTGTTTTTAGCTCCATCCATGCTGATATGAGGAGCTTCTGGCTGTGGCTGCAACTATGTATTATTTCAGAAATGGAATATTTGAGTATTTCCTTCAATAATCAAGTAATCCATTACCTTTGTTCTCCTGCAAATTCATTATAAAGACTGCATTTTGTTTCATACTTCGTTCCATGCAGAAAATATTTATTAAAAAGAGTGAAGAGATACAATCCTTCAGTTGTTGCAGCGAAACAGAACTGTTTTTAACCTGGATTTGAACATTGTCAGAGAAGAAGCCTGTCTCACATTTTCTGGGACCAGCAGGAGGCCAGTCCCTGTGCTCCTCAGAGTCTGCGTTAGGTCTTGTGGCACTGACATGTCGCTTTTAGATTTTGTAGACCATACATTTGAATGGGCCGACAGTGGCTCAGGTGGGAGAGCATTGGCCTGGGTTTGAGCCCACCACGAGACCTTCTCTGCAGACTACTGATGTCTGCTGTCTCTGTGTCCTTGGGCAAGACACTTCACCCCACTTTGCCTGAACTATCAAGGCTATGCTCGCAGAAGGACCAGTGAGGGGCTGGTGCTCTGTGAATTGGGTGCAGCCCCGACCCAGAAATGGATTTAAAGACCTTATGCCGGGTTTGATTTATTTAGAAATACAGTTTTAATACCATTTTATATTAGAAGAGAACTACTAAAGGTTTCAAAATCAGTTGTTGTTTTTTTTGTCTGATCCCCCCAAATCGAAATAACCCCATAGCAACGCCCTTAGAGACAAAAAAACTTCACAGCCCTTGGTGACGTCAGAGTGGGTACGTTTCAACGCTGTACAGTAGGTCCCATTCCGTTTTGTCGCCTTTCACGCGTGAATGCAGGCACTCTTGTTTCTCTTCAGTGCGTTGTTGTTGTCAAAGGTGGGACCAATGAGGTCTTTTGCTTTGAACCATGCTGGCCAGCTCACCGTCCCAGGAGCAGGGGCTTGGCTCTGATCCAAGCAATTCATACTTACCTGGCAGGGGCGAGACCATGATCATGAAGGTGGTTCACGGTGGTTATAGCTGTGCGGTGTATGGAGCATAACCTTACTCGAGAGTGGCCCGTCACCACACAATATGGCGACAGCAGACCCAAATTCTCGCCGGAAGGTGGTCCGTTTTGATCTGTCAGAGGACCTCGAAATGGATCGTCTTACCTTCAGCAGGCAGCTCCTTCAAAAACAACTGGAAGTGTCCACCCATCAGTTGGACTTTATCTTTGCGTTTCCTGGAAGGAAGCGTTTTGAGGTGGTTTTTACAACATCCAAACACCTTGAGACATGTCTTCAAGTCTTCTACAGAAAGAGGACGAACAGCCCATTTCTGCAAAAAGTAACGGTCACACCCTTTATGGAAGTGGAAAGGAAAATTGTCCACATTGTCATCTGGTCCGAACGAGTCAGAGTGGAGGATGTCAAGACTTGGGCCTCCTTCTACTGTAACGTCCTTCAAGCTACAGAGGTGGTCGACATCGACGGAGTAAAAACTGGCACAAAGCGACTAGAAGTGAAGCTGAAACGGGAAAACGGTGAAATAAAGCACCTGCCCAATTCGATCCAGCTGGGGGCCTACCGCGGAGCAGTATACTACGCAGGCCAGCCCAAACGCTGCCGACGGTGCGGGAGCTTGGAACACTTTGCTGCAGAGTGTCAAGTAACACATTGCAGGAAATGTAATGCAACAGATCATGCTACAAACCAGTGTCTAGCACCCACGAAGTGTAACTTGTGTGCAGCAGACACACACCTGTTTAAAGACTGTCCCAAAGCCTATTCCAACCGGTTGAAAGGACAAGTCACCCCAGCGTTTCCATACCCAGAGAATTTTGATTGGAGCGATGAACAGGGGGAAGATACCCAGAGCCCAGTTGCCGACACAGTGGAGATTCCGGATCCGGGAGAAAAGGAGAGGGAACTCAAAGCCGACACCCCTGCACCATCTGCGACCCCCCCGGAGGTCCGTCTGCTGCAACAAAAGACTCTGGGAGCCGAGAAGATCCTCGACGGAATCCTGGCACAACTCCCTGCCCAGCCACCTGCCAGGGCCCCGGACGACGGAGCACCAGGCGCGGAGGAGACCAGAGATCAAGTGGGCCAGCATACTTCCTCAAGTGACCAAGACCTCACCCTTTCTCCAGACCACCAGAGAATCCCAGAAGCCAGCTCCCCAGTAAAAGAACCACTGTCATCCCTCGGAGACTTGTTCCTCCCACTCCCCGACAGTCTGGGGGGACGACAGACATCGCTGAAGCGCCCCCAGGAGTCATCAAGCGAGGATTCGGGACATCTGGACAAGCCCCAAAAGGTATGGCCAGCCCCCTCCACTCCATTCCTTGACCCAGACCACCTAAACCACTTCTCCACAATTACCCAAATGCGGGACCCAGAAGGGGACCCTTTGGAGACCAAAAAGAAGAAAAAGAAAAAGAGGACCAGTAAATGAAGAATACGAAACTTAACTTAACAACACGTATGGCTCCCTTGGTAATCTCATCAACTAACACTAGAGGTATTAATGACCCACTAAAATGCAAAGCAGTGCTGGATGGTCTCTACGCATCATCTGGGGACATTTTCTTGCTTCAAGAATGTAATATACCTTACCAACAAAAATACGAAACATACAAAAGTAGATGGAGCTATGGGGAATCAATATGGTCTGGGGACAACAAAAATAGGTCCTCCGGGGTAGCGATCCTCTTACGGGGGAAACATATGGCTATTTCCAGTGTTCAAAGAGTTATTGATGGCAGATTGCTCTGCGTGGACTTGGACGTAGGGGAAAAAAAGGTCAGAATAATTAATGTTTATTGCCCAACAAACCTTCAAGAGCGGATAGAATTACTCCACATCTTGCAAGGATTGATTTTTAGCAACAAAGAGGTAATTGTGGGAGGTGATTTTAATTGTATACTAGAGCAGTCCGACCGATCATCAAATGGGAACTTGGACAGCAGCTCAAAAGTGCTTGCCAAAATTTTAAACACTAGCAAACTGAAAGACCCCTTTAAGACAAAAAATGGAGACCAACCTAAATATACATGGACTAACGGGAAAACTTTCTCCCGCATTGATTTTATATTCACCCCCACAAAGCATAAGATTATAGACACCTCAATAGTACCAAACCCCTTTTCAGACCATTCTACCATCACAGTTAGCGTTAATATTCAAGGCAACAACAGAATAAACAAAGGACAGTGGAAACTAAACACCAGCCTTTTAGAGAACCCAAAGATCAAAATAAAATACATATCAAAACTAGAACAATGGAAGACCCTACAAGATTCTTTTAACACAATTGGAGAGTGGTGGGAGGACATTAAGATCAGGACAAAAACCTTTTTTAAAGAAGAAGGAAAAAGGGTAGCATCCAAATTAAGGGCAGAAATGAAGTGCACCCAAAAGAAGTTGCAGAACTTGTACGCCCTGGCCTTGCTGGGCCTGGATATGCAAGATGAAATTGGACAAACAAAAGTAAAATATATGAAGCTTTTAACAGACAGAAATAAGGGTTTTTTAATTAGAAGCAGGGTTCAAAAGTTAGAGGAAGACGAGAAGTGCACAACATACTTTTTTGGGAAGTCAGCAAGAACAAGAAACCAAATTTCTTCAGTAGTTGACAGGACGGGTAAAGAACAAAAAGAAGTGAAGCAAATACACCAGTCAATTGAAGACTTTTTCAGCAACATGTACAACCAAAAGACTGTGTCAGACGAGACAATCTCCACCTTCTTCAAAGACGCTACACACAAGCTAAAGGAAGGAAGCAAAGAACTCTTAGAAAAGGATCTCACAATAGAAGAATTGACAAAAGCCTTAACCGGAATGAAAGACAACAAGACACCCGGGGATGACGGTCTCCCAAAAGAGTTTTACGCCGCCTTTTGGGACCAACTAAAACAACCGTTGTTAGAGGTCTTTGATGAAAGTCTAAGAAACAGTGCTCTTCCCCCATCCCTCCAAAGAGGCACAATAACACTCTTGCATAAGAAAGGCCCCAAGAATGATTTAAAGAACTGGAGACCTGTCACACTGCTAGGAGTAGACGTCAAAATCCTGTCAAAAGCTCTGTACCTAAGAGCACAGAAGGTAATTGGAGAGGTGATCGAGGGGGAACAGACATGTGGAGTCCCGGAACGTTCCATTCTTGATAACCTGGCTCTCATAAGAGATACTTACCTTTTTAGCGAAGAAAGAGGCACTCCATTATGCATTCTGGGTTTGGATCTAGAAAAAGCCTTTGATAGTGTCAGTCATTACTACATCCAATCTGTACTGAAACATTTTAATTTTGGGCCAAACTTTTGCCAATGGGTAAAACTGCTTTACACTGATTGTAACAGTATTGTAAATGTAAACGGGTCCCCCACAAACCCAGTTCAGATTAAGTCAGGCGTAAGACAAGGGTGCCCCCTGTCACCCACACTCTTTATCCTGGCCATGGAGCCATTAGCATGCGCCCTCAGGAAAAACAAGAACATCAAGGGAATAAAGGTCCCTGGAAGTAACAACAGGCAAGCAAAAATATCGATATATATGGATGATCTTACAATGCTACTGAGAGACAACAGGTCAATTAGAGAATCCATCCAAACATGCAATCTTTTCACCCTTGCCTCAGGGACCAAAATCAATCATTCCAAGAGTGAAGCTCTGTTCCTTAATTGGAAAGAGGAGAAAGATAGCACAGTGACAGAGAAGAACCCAATCAAAGTTCTTGGTCTTCTTGTAGGTACTAATATGCAAAAGTGTAACTGGGAAAAAACACTGCCCAAAATAACAGGGAAACTAATAAGGTGGCAGGATAGAGAACTTTCAATTGTGGGGAAAACATTAGTAATTAATGCAGAAATCCTCTCTGCTGTTTCGCACCTAGCAGCCACAATACCCGCGCCACACCACGTGGTTGCGAGCATCAGAAGGATAGTGTTCCAATTCCTTTGGGGGGGGAAACAAGAAAGGCTCAAACGGGAGATCCTGTACAAACCCGTTCAGGAAGGAGGCAGAAATATCCCAGACCTAGAAGTGAAATTTAAAGCAATGTTTCTCTCACCAATCCTCAAAGCAGTTTTAAACTCCGGGGAAGACAAATTATGGCACTTTTTTGCGAAATTCTGGGTGGGCAGAAAAGTACTAACCACCTGGGGAGAACGGCCCTCCCTCACAGTACCTCACGCAGAAGGATGCCCAAACATCTACAAGGTGGTACGGAAAAGTCTCTCAAAGGATTTCCAAAAGGTCAAACCCACAAAAATCAAAAGACAAGACATTGAAGGATTACTTGCCCCAGAACGGAGGAAGCTTACTCCAGCCGGAAAGCTTTCCGAAGAGCTGAGCAGGCAGGCTTGGAAGAACACCAACGCCACCCACTTGAAAAACAGAGACAGAGACTTGGCTTGGCAAATCCTGCACCAATGTCTCCCCACCAGAGCATTCCTGCACAGACGACAAATCACACCCAGCCCAAAATGCCCAAGGACGACATGTGGCGGGGATGAGACCACACTCCACCTTTTTTGGTCCTGCCCCTTTGCCCAATCCGTCTGGGCGGGGGTCGCACCCTGGCTGACAAGCCTCCACAAAGCTCCGACAGACTTTATGGAGGTGCAATGCGGGGAACTGGGGAAACAAAGAAACAAAGACATCCAAAAATGGTGGTGTGTGATGAACTGTGTTAAATATGGACTATGGAAAGCAAGAAATATACAGACTGTCCAAAAGATCACAATGCCACAAATATCAGTTTTTAAATGTATTTTGTACCATTTTAAGGACTATGTATTAAAGGAAATGCAGGATTGTGGGAAAGAGCAGGCTCTTAAGAGCTGGAAGGTGCCAGCTTTCCTAACGGACTTGATTCTCTGGTAACACCCCCAAAAGCAGTCACGGTTCACTATGTTGATGAAATGTCCTTTATGCTGATTTTGTAAAATTGTAAGTATAGATTGTTTGTGAATGTTTCTACCTTGTTAAAAGAAAATAAAATGCGTCTAAAAAGTGGTTCACCCAAGGCGAGGCTCATCCATTGCACTGACCGGGTGTGCTGACCTTTGTGAATTCCCCAAATGTGGGAAT